TTTTAAAAATAGACCCGGCTGGCCGGCTTTTTTTTTTAAATTTCATATATAAAATTTTATAAAATTTATATAAAAAAATTTTTTAAAACTCACTCGGTTATTAAAACATATAAAATTTTTTTTTAGAAGTTTTCAAATTTTGACCTGGCCGGGTTATGAAAACCAATTAATTAATTTTGCATAGCCTTATTTTGAACTTTTTTTGCTACCTTATTTCGCAAATTTTTGCAAAATATTATAATAAAATAATTTGACAATTAATTTTTTTATATAATTTTATTTAATAATAAATTTAATATTTAGTTTTATTTAAATTTTATTGGTTTAGCAACAGTAGGCATTGGACATAAATCATCTTTTTTGTTAGGATTTTGTATATGAGTTCTTATTTGTTCATATAAATACCATTGTCATTCTGCACTAAGACCAGGTAATTTTTTTTCAACTAATTGATTAATATTATCTTTTTGTCTAATTTTTTCAATTTGTATAGTTGTTTTTTCTCCATTAGAAGATGTACTAATTTTAACTTTTTCTTTGTCTAAACTATTAAATTCAAAATAATGTTGTTTTAATATATTTGGAATTGTTGTAAAATTTTGTTTTAACCAATCTGTCCATTCATAAAAATGTACAACCTGATTTCCTTTATCATCAAAAACTGTTTGTGCAATATTATATTTACCAGTAGTAGAATGTTGAATTATTTTAATTAGATCATTAAGATTATCTACTTTAGATTTTCTTAAAAGTAATTTTATAAATCCAAAAAATCCATCTGGACTAAATTTAGTATGTCCTGCAACCATAAAACAATAAGTTATACTATCATGTAATCCTGTTAAAACTCTCCAAGCTAAATATGCTATCATTGCATTATTCTTATTTTGTCCAGAACAATTATCTGCATGAATTACTAATCTTTTTTCTTCTAATCCATGTAATTCAAAATAATTATGAACTAAAAAAATAACGGTATCTGCATCTTTACCAACTAATTCACTTTCTTTAATAAGATAATTTACCTAAAAATTATAAAATAAATTAATATAAATATAATTATATAATAAAAAAAAAATTATTATTTACTTGACGTGGAAATGCATCATCACAAATTCCAAATAAATGAACTTTATATAAAGATTTAAAATAAATTTCACCCTAATAATAAAATAATTAATAAATTATTATTATATAACTTATAATGAAATTTTTATAAATTTAATAAAATTATTTACTTCTTATTGAGATGAATATGGTAATTGAATTTGCTATACATAATCCCAAGAAAGATGAATTGTAATATCTAAAGAGTTTGGTTTTTCAGGACGTACTAAATTATTAATTCCAAATTTTTGAATATCTTCATATGCTATTTTAATATATTTTCTAATAAAATTTTTAAATTTAAACAAAATTAAATAATTTTATAAAATAAATTATTAAAAATTAAAAATCAAATATAAATTATTTAATTAAATTTATAAAATTAAACTAATAGTTAATTTAAATAAAAATTTTTAATCAAATATTTAACTTTTATAAAATTTAAAATTACTTACTTATAATTTTCTCGTTCTTCATGTGCCCATTTAATATGTTCATGCCATTCTAAAACTTTAGTTTCTTTTTCTTCGTTTGACCAATAATTTGCATTAAATCTCATATTTTTGCATTTTAAACATAAATCACTACGTGGAGTTAATTTTTTAATATGTGGTAAAAATTTTTTCCAAATTTTAACAAATGTTGTAAAACCAACTTCAAATTGATTATTGGTTTTAATTGTTTCTAAATATTGTATATGTAAAGATGAATATGTAGTATCTGCTGGTAAATATATAATTGCAATAGTATTATCACGAAAACTTCATCCTATAAAATTTAAATTTATTATAAATAAAATAATTAATTTTTAAATTAATTATAAATAAAATAAAATATTTAATAAAATAATTATAAATAAAATAAATAGTTAATAAATATTACCTGGAGATGGTAAACCATTTTGCTTTGCAAAATTTCCTATAAAAGTAATAACCTTTATAACTTTTTCAAAAGATATTGCTCGATTTCCAACTTTTCCAGTTTTTGAATCAATATGTAAATTTATATCATATTCTACAAAATAATCTCTTAAATTTTTCCATCGTGTATCTCCAAGACCATAAATTGTTTTAAAAGCATTTTTACAAATTGATTTTCCTTCAAAGCTATATTCTGTAGTAAGTTTAGATTTTTTTGAAGTTTTAATTATTTCTGGTCGTTTAGTAGTAGCAATAATACCTAATAAATACATATCTTGAAAAGGTTTAGAAAGATTTTTAAAATTTAAATATCTTTTTAAAGCTACAGAATATTCAACTTGAGTTTGTAAACAATTTTTTTCACAACAAACTTTTTCAAAAGATTTTTTAAAATCATTATTTTGTAATAAATTTATTTCATTCTCTAATTTTTGATTATCATCATCTTGTTTTTCAAAAGTATCTTTTTCTTTATAATATAATTTTTTAAATTTTGAAAGCTCTTCTTCAGTCCAAATCTTATTTTCTAAAAGATTATTTTCTGAAATTTCAAAAATTTCAGATATTTCAGATAAAGGTAAATTATCATCTTCTTGAACTAAGAATTGAAATTGCAAATTTGAAAGATCTGTTTGTAATTGAGTATTTTCTATATGAGTTTCTTCAAAAATATTTTTATTTAATGAAAAAATAGATATTTTTTACAAAATAAAAATTTAAAAAATTTGAATATTTTAATTAATTCAACTAATAGTTATATACATATTTATTACAATACAATATGCAATAGTTAAAATCTAATTGTTACTCTATGTATTACAAATCTATTAATTCTGTATATATATCAATATCAATATTATGTAAGATATAAAAACAATAATTATGCAATTTATGCAGATAGCAAATTAATAACATTGTAAAAAAAAAAAATACATGCATACTTATACGTATTTATAATACAATTATAACAATAATAAACATAATAAAACTTTATACATGCTTACAAGCATGTTCTTTTATTGTTGATATTTTCAAAACCTATCATCGACAAATTTGATATATGAAAAAACTTGCATATACAAAATATTTCGAAAGTTTGCGAAAGATTCCAAGCCTCTAAACCCAACAAAAAACCACTTTCGGCGTTTTACTGGTAAACCTTCTTGTGATCTAAAGACTACAAGAAAATCCACCAGTAAAACACAGAAAGACTACATTCACCACTGAAACGCTGAAAGACTCGAAAATCACAAGTTCAGACTTGTAAACTGCTGAAAGACCGAAGACTCAAGAAAACGAAAGACCTAAAAACAAAAAAAAAACAGAATTAAAGACCAGTAAACAGCTGAAAGACAGGTGAAATGCTCACCAAAATGCCAAAGACTTTAAGAAAATTCACCAAAAACGCCGATGACCGAAAATCTCAAGAAAATTCACCAAAAACGCCGAAGACCGAAGATCCCAAGAAACTTCACCAAAACGCCGAAAGACCTAAAAAAAAATAATAATTAAAGACCAGTAAACAGCCGAAAGACAGGAGAAACTAAATGAAATACTCACCAAAACGTCGAAGACTCTAAGAAAATTTACCAAAAACGCCGAAGACCGAAGATCTCAAGAAAATTCACCAAAACGCCGAAAGACCTAAAAAAAACATAATTAAAGACCAGTAAACAGCCGAAAGACAGGAGAAACTAAATGAAATACTCACCAAAACGCCGAAGACTCTAAGAAAATTCACCAAAAGCGCCGAAGACCGAAGATCCCAAGAAAATTCACTGAAAGACCAAAGATCTCAAGAAAATTCACCATAAGGTCGAAAGACCTAAAAAAAAAAAGAAAAAAAAAATTTAAAGACTAGTAAACAGCTGAAAGACAGGAGAAAACTAAATGAAATACTCACCAAAACACCAAAGACTAAGAAAATTCCCCAAAACCGCCGAAGACTGAAGATCTCAAGAAAATTCACCAAAACGCTGAAAGACCTAAAAAAAAACATAATTAAAGATTAGTAAATAGCCGAAAGACAGGAGAAAAGTACATTAAATACTCACCAAAACGCCGAAGACTCCAAGAAAATTCACCAAAATGCTGAAAGACCAAAGAAACCAAGATTCTCCAAAAGCGCCGAAGACCGGAGATCCCAAGAAAATTCACTATAACTCTGAAAGACCTAAAAAAAAAAAAAGAACATAACCAGTAAACAGCCGAAAGACAGGAGAAACTAAATGAAATACTCACCAAAACGCCGAAAACTCTAAGAAAATTCACCAAAAACGCCGAAGACCGAAGATCTCAAGAAAATTCACCAAAACGCCGAAAGACCTAAAAAAAAGAACATAATTAAAGATCAATAAGCAGCCTAAAGACCAGATAAAAGTATATAAAATACTCAACAAATTCTAAAGAACCCCGACACCGAAAGACCAAAGACCTCAAGAAAATTGAAAAAAAACCATAATTAATTAGTTTATTAAAAATCTAAGTGATCTTCGTATTCTATTAGATTCCAGAAATCTTGTATTTCTATTTTTAGATTTCATCGTTTTTTCAGTTTTTTGCAATTTACAGATTTTTTTATTATATAATTTGGTCTTGTGATTTGATAAATCTTTTTGCCAAATATATATCTATTAGAAAATCGAAAAAAATCAATTTTCAAAAAATTGTAAAAAAGGGCTGTTTTAATATGTAATACCCTATATGTGACATCTTCCCTGACTAATATATTAAAAAATATTAATATAGTAATAAAGGTATACATACTATATATATAATATATATATATATAATATAATTAATATAACTAATCATAAAACTTTTTTCGTAGATCCTTAATACAAAAAATTTTCCAAAAACCATCTAACAAAAAAGTTTATTTTTGCAATATTTTATTAAGATTACTTATTCTTTGCTCTAACAAAACTTGCTCTTCATCTAAATTTATATATAATATAAAAATTTTAAAAGAAACGAACCTAAACTCCTAAAGTTATGGTCTTTTAGGCCAAATAGTCTTCTTTTGACGTTTATGCCTAAACTAGAGTCTTAACCTCTGTTCAAAATTAAGAATAAATTATTTTACACATTTTCTTCTTCAAAACAAGCTATAATAGATCTCTGTAGCTTCAATATTAACCAAGTTATAAGCAAAGCAATTTTCAACTTCATTTACTTTTTCTTTTCTCTTTTACT